TTTGATGAATCTCTGGAGGTATTAAGTTGAGTTGATTGACAAGTTCTGCTAATTACAAATTTAAGTCATGAAAAGGAGTAGTATATTGAAACTGGTAGACGTTTTAAATATGAAGAGGAGTAGGAATGGGTTTTTAAACCAGTAGAGGGTTCCTTTTTGGAACAGCATTTAAGGCCATTTGTAAAGGTTCACATTTGAAATGATTGCTGAGAATAATGTTTACCTTTATCCCTGTTTGTGGTTCTGCTTGGTTTATTATTCTGGTTCTTTCATCAATGCTTAATCTTTAAAGAGTAATTTTACTTCTTTATGCATCTTCACAGGTTCTCTAAAAGTAGGAGTACAGGACTGGCTATTGGGAAATAGAAAGAATCATGCTGCTAACTGTTATGGTATTGAGGCACAGCTTTTGAAGAATCTCCATGACTTTCCAAAGAAATTTGTTAGTCATCAATATTTGGTAGAAAATTTTGATGATGAAGACCTGGAGGCCTGGGAACTTCAAGCAAAAAGATGGGCAAGAGTTCTCTTTCTTGTAATTGAGGAGAAAGAGGATTTAATGCCAATCTTGCTGGTTTGTCACTTTGCCTTGCCTTTTATTTCTTTATGCTTGTTAATTTTATTTAACTCTTATCACCTCTTTTTTGATGTTGATTGATGTACATTATAATTTTGGGAATGTGGTTAGAAAATTATTGTTATTCCTTTTTTATGTACCTGCCAATTTGCTTATGTCATTATAGATAATATTGGATCATGTTGATGTTTTTGATACAGATGCACAAATACAAACTCTCTACTTTTTGCCATCTCTCCTTATATGGACATCTACATATTAGTTTTACAAAAAAATGTCAAGTTGTAATCTTGATGTACTGTTGACACATTAGTTCCCTCTGTTGTAAGAATTCAGTAAACTCTTGTATCCTGTAAACAGTTTTCTCACATTCCATATTTATGTCCCCTTTGTTTTTATTTGGCATCTTATTGAAAACAGATTATTGCTATTACTCTTTTAGAGAATGCTTTTGCTATGTAAACTAAACTAGCAATGATCCTGTCCTTGCATTATATCTAGTTCAAGTGCTTTCTGAGCCCAGTCCTT